AGAGGGGGGGTTATCTGTCTGTCCAGCTGCAGGTGGAGAGGGGGGGGGCGGGGTTCATCACACCACCACTCTTTAGAAAAGGATCCAAAGTGGACCTCCACTCATTGTATATCGGATCCACATTAACATTCTTTATTTTGCCCTCAAGGTAAACTTTAGCAGAATAGTTTCAGATGACTGGATGCTGCTGACAGCTCTCCCTCAAATGTAATGGAGGTCATTCTGTGTGAACTCCAAACCTGTGCGACAGATTTTAAGTGAAATTGAAAAATCGAAGTTATGGAGTGATGACATCTAGTGGCCAAAGACCGTCTACACATGAAGATCAGCTCTTTGGGGATGGGAAATGGTAACAAGGGTTTTTTTTAAGTACTGTTTGAAATAAGGCAACATTCTATAATTGTAAATGTTCTTGGACTGTCTGAAAGGTATTTGCATTGTTATAAGACTCTTATCTGAAATAGTTTTTACTCATGTCCTTGTGATCAATCCAGAGATATGATGCACGCTCTGCTCACATCCTCTCACTGACTTCACGTATGAACATGTGTTCTCTGCTCATGGCCTGCAGAACATCTGCTGTCATTATCTCTGCTCCACTCATTAACACATGAAGCTTTCTGCAGATGTGTTGTTTCAAATTGAAAATAATTTAACTTTTTGGAGTTTGACTCACGAGAGAAGAACAGTGCCCAAAAACATATTTTGGAAAACACGCGTTGGTGATATTGGGATAATGGGAACTGGATATTGTGTGTGTGTGTGTGTGTGTGTGTGTGTGTGTGTGTGTGTGTGTGTGTGTGTGTGTGTGTGTGTGTGTGTGTTTGCTCGGGGCAGTAACATTGGTAACTGAAATGTTGAAGGTCTCTAAAGCAATTCATTGTGGCTTCTTTGACTGGGTGTGGCACCAACCTGAAGGTGTGTATGAGGGGGGGGGCAGTGGGTTCTGACCATGTAAATAATGAAATGTGAATAATATATATGATATGTTGAGACACACCCTTCACCTCAAAGTCATCCACGCTTTCCTTTTAGTTCAGGCTGACGATCTGCTGAAATTCTGTTCATTCATTTACACTTTTTTGTCTTCAGCTACATTCTTGTGGTTAATTTGAACCAAGCTTCCCCCCGTGTCACGTGTGCACCCAGCCCGCTGACATCATAAAACCAAACAGAAAGAACGTGGCTGTTCCCTTCTCCCTCTCTGATTCCATCTCAAACTGACCCAACAGCTTTCAGTTTCACATAAAGTCTGCCCTCTGTTGATCCGCAATATGAGAGCAGATCTGGTGACATGATCAGCTGGCAGCAGAGGGGGGAAGTAACTAAGTAGCCTACATTTACTCAAGTACTCTACTTAAGTACAGTTTTGAGACACTTGTACTTTACTTGAGTATTTCCATTTGATGCTTTGTACTTCTACTCCTCTACAGTTCAGAGGTACATGGTGTACTTTTACTCGACTACATGTATTTGATACATTTAGTTACTTTACAGATGTGGATGAATGATGTGAAATCTAATCAAGTGTTAAATCAGACTTTAGTTCCACCTGGAGTAAATCCACAAGCTACCCTGCAGAATACAAAGTCATTCAAACTAGCTGCACCTTTACCAGCTTTGAGAACACTTTCATGATCAATCATTATAAAACATATCATATCTATTATTCTGAGATGGACCAATCTGCACAATGACTACTTTTACTGTAGCTACATGTCACTTGTTAGACACTTTTACCCAAAGCGACTTACATACTCCATACTGTGGACAATCCCCACAGGAGCAACCTGGGGTGAAGTGTCTTACCCATGGACACAACGGCATGCCGAGTGCAGTGGGGTTTGAACCAGTGCTCCCCTTATCCAAAGATCAGCACACTATCCCACTTGGTACTTTAAGTATGTTTGATGCAAATACTTTTCTACTTTTGCTTGTGTAACATTTTGAATGCAGGACTTTTACTGTAACTGAGTATTCCTACACTGAAGTACAAGATATGAGTACTCCCCCATCTCTGGCTGTTATGAACAGTAACAGAGGGACAGGATCAGCAGTGAACAGGCTAACAGAGGGACAGGATCAGCAGTGAACAGGCTAACAGAGGGACAGGATCAGCAGTGCCAGCCTCAACATGCACACACTATTGCGCAAAGCGTCCAACTTTGACTAAAGCTTTCCAGATGTGGAATGAGAGTCTGCTGAAAGTAATCTGCTCCTTATAACATCCACACACACCACTTTATACACTCCTGTACTCTCACATGTATGTCCACAGCACCAAACACACACACACACATACGTGCGCGCGCAGAGTGGAGTCTGCCAACATATCATGTATGTTCCTTTTTCTTCTTCTTCCTGGCTTTCTCTCATGCAGAGGGAGGATCCAGGAAGGTTGCCAGTTAGTGACTGTCAGCAACCACACACACACTCACACACACTCACTCACAGACAGACAGACAGACAGAGGGGAGAATCTCGCAGATAAACTAACAGTCGACATGTCTCAGGTAAGAAATACAACTTTTATTAGAGTAAATCTCGACACGGGTTAGGAATGCTAACGTATGAACTTTACATGAAGTTGTGTTAGTTGTTGAGTTTCATCGCGGTGTAAGGAAAGAATGCGCAGCTGGATTGTAAAAGTGAGCGGAACCATTACAGAACAGTTGTCTGCTGAGGCCCGGGCCGAGCACAGCCTCCCCGGACAGAGAGCACTTTCTATCCGCCGTGTGAGCGTCGCTGCTCGGCTTTAAGAGCCTGGAGCTGCGGCCCCTCCCTGTAGCAGACTGCTAACCGCCGTGATCCTGGGCGACGGACACCTAGCTGTGTGTATGGAAGCGAGGAATATACAGTGTAGGCCCTCCGTGCAGCATGGCTTCCTCTTTATTACAGGACCTTTGTCGTTGTGCTACATGATCTTCCTTCAGAAACTATGATTCATAATCTCTCATGTGGCACATTGTCTGTCCCACATTAAAAACGTTCCTCACGGGACCAAACCCCATTGGCACTGTAAGACTTAAAATAAAACTATTTAAAACAAAGTTTCCAATGAGGTACAGTTTCAGATGAGCTGTCGCACTCGAAAGGATAGGGTGTGGTAATGGGCAGTCCAACAAAAACATGAGTCTGTCTTTAATTATTCCCACTGAGACTTTATCCCCGATGCTTACACACTTTGTAATGTCTGATAAAAGTTAAAAAAAAAGTGGCTATTTCTTTTCAAATAACCATTTTCATGCGTCAGTCCTGTGATCCACTCATCTGAACCTTGTGAAATCGGGCTGATGTGAGGACAGTTTCTGCTGAGGTGCAGTGGGCCTGCAGCAGCTTGCTCCGTCACTAAGGGTGTGGTTTGAGAAGCTGTTGGCCCACATGCACTGAATAACTGTAGCAATACAACTGTCCTTAATGCTGAGTTAAGCCACATTCACATCAACACTCAGCCAAAGCACTGCATGTCGCTGCACTCTGACACTCTCACCTCATACTTTTAGAGGACAATTAAAGTTTATTCATAGAGCTGTTTCACAGAAAAGGATGTAAGAGACAGTCAATAAATAATTCAGATACCTTTCTTGAGTAAAAGTACTTATACCGCACTGTAAAAATACTCTATTTCAAGTCAAAGTAATGCATCAAGAATGGTACTTAAGTAAAAGTATGATGACAAAGATGTTCTTAAAGTATGAGGAGTAAAAGTACTCATTGCAGAAAAAGTTTAGCAGCTAGAGACAGATTGTCTCAGGAGCTGAGGAGACCAAACCCAAAGCTGGAAGAGGGATCGTTGATACTCAACAGATGGACGCTCTGTGTATTATTA